CTATATGCCTGTCGGTCTGTCTATCTCTTTCTATCTATCTATCTCTTTCTTTCTTTCTTTCATTCTATCTATCTATCTATCCATCTATCTATCTATCTATCTATCTGTCTGTCTGTCTGTCTATATTGTTTTGTCTATCTATACATCTCTTTAGCTGTCTTGTCTGAATCTCTTTTCCACTTTTTAGAAATTCAGTTTAAATATGTGTGCACTTAATTTGCCAGTGCAAACATATTACCATAGCATTCAATAAATCAGATATTTAGCAGATGCGGGCACAATTAATCATCTTAATGTCCTCTTAGACAGTCTGTCTGTCTGTCTGTCTATATTGTTTTGTCTATCTATACATCTCTTTAGTTGTCTTGTCTGAATCTCTTTTCCACTTTTTAGAAATTCAGTTTAAATATGTGTGCACTTAATTTGCCAGTGCAAACATATTACCATAGCATTCAATAAATCAGATATTTAGCAGATGCGGGCACAATTAATCATCTTAATGTCCTCTTAGACAAACTATGCAAAAGATCTGCTGACATGATTCAGATACTGTATTTCACAGGCATATCTAAAAAGAAAAATGAGAGTTTGTGTGAAATCAGGCTGTTATTCTTTGTCAAACCGAAAACATGAGGCCATGCAAGGTCTGTAGGTTGATGTTGTTTAGACTGTCACAATCTCATGTGTAAAGGGTAGACCTCATTCAGGTTAGTATCAAATGAATGCTTCAGCCAAATCATATCATGTTAATTCTCTGAAATTTTCGTCATACTTTCTATATCTATCTATCTATCTATCTATCTATCTATCTATCTATCTATCTATCTATCTATCGTTCTGTTGCTCTATCATTCTATCTATCATTCTGTTGTTATATCATTCTATCTATTATTCTATCTGTCGTTTTATCATTCTGTTGTTCTGTCTACATCAAAATATTACTCCATCCATCTCTAGCCTCTCAAAACTTTTCACCACCTTAAGATAAATCCAGAAACTTGTCTTCAGTATGTTAGATTTCTAATGTAAACAATACCACAGAAAAATCATGTTCCTAATTGTTATTTTTGTCTTGTTTTCTAGTAAAAATATCAAATAAGATGTGTTTATTTGAAATAGATTTATACACTTGTTTTTATCATTTATAGTTTCATGAATCATCCTCTGAAAAGGATTAATATCTTATGAAGTGTTGCTTCTCAAGCGGCAACAATTATCTTGTTTTTAGAAATTTTAACTGGAACACAAGTCAAAAACCGCAATTATAAAGTGATTTTTTGTGGTGCCCTATCCACATTATTTGTCTATTTTTATTCATGAATTTCACAACACATCATTATACACATACTATTCAATATTTCTCTCCATGTGCCTATGTAAAATTAACCTCTCGCTGTCAAATCTGTAGGGCACTCTCTCTTTGTCAACTATATGCAAATCGGATGTAAACTTTCTGGGCAGGTGTTGTCATTCCAGGTGGTTGAGTAGCAAAGTGGAGGTTGCCCATGTGTGACTAAATCTTAAGTACTTTTGCTAGATATGTGTACACACATTTTCATAAAGTCACTGGTTTAAAGTTTCATGCCATTTCATGGGGTCACAGACATTTAGAGTAGCATTTAACATGCATTATTACATTAAAGACATAATCAGTATGAGGATTTTTTTTTTACATCGAACTTAAAAAAAAGATTTCTGAGAAGGTAAAAAATTATGTTTTTCAAGCATTTACATTTTTATTTGACAAAATTCAATTTTTAGGCCCTTTTAGATTTCCTACAGCCAACATTATGGTACAAAAAGTTATGGTAGTCTTATTAGCGTGCTCATCGTTAATGGAGAGGTGTAATATGTCCCAAAAAGCTGTATTTGATATTTTGTTTTAAAAGCATTGCGTGTTTTGCTTGAAATTTTGCATCACAGGCCTGGTTTCTTGACAGCTGAGGTATAAGGGTCAAGTATGTATATAGATGCACCATGCTGGGTCAACTGATTTTGAAGTTCACAGTGTCTAAAGCTTGAGTTTGACTGTTTAAGCTATTGATAAGTCACACATTAGGTAAATGTATGCCTCTTCATCACACATAGTCACCACTGATGCTGCTATAAGATGAATTGGTATGTGCGGAGTCCATTTATGGTTGACAGCTTACATGTCAACCATACTAGTAGGCTCGATTGTGAGTGTATTTGGCGTGCACACACATACACAAACAATTTGCGAGATTGTAAATACGCACAATGTACGGCTTCATGGAGTGGTCTGAGGGTAATGCTGTTTACTCAGCGGCTGTTGCTCTGATGAATTGAATTTTATATTTTAAAAAATCTCTCATACTGCATGATTGATATACAGTGGCGGCTCGTCGGGGGAGGCAGTAATTTTGAGGTGAAAATGGGAGGAGGACGATTTAATGTTAATAAAATTCACAATTCATTTCAGTTCATGTCTCAGAATGTGTATTTTTTGTTTGTAATTT